ATTTTTAAGTTAATTTACTTTAGTAAAACAACATATAAAATAATTATATATATATATATATATATATAATATTTTTTTTAATATAATTTCAGATAATGGTACATTAGAAACAGAAGCTGATTCAAGTTACATAATGTCATCTGGACCTGTAGGAAAAGCAAGAAAAAGACTTCACGAACTTCTTGAAGATTCTTTTAGTCTTTTTGGAAGTAGAGATCAAAAATCAGATGTACAATTATATACCACACAATCGACTTCAATAGGACGTATACCAGACACTTTTACAATATTTTCAGAAACTAAAGAAAGATCTACTCATGCGAGGTATTTAAATTGTAATTATTTTTTAAATATTTTCCATTAAACATCATTAATAAATAAAAATAAATTTGTATCTATATACTGTAAATTTGATGAAGAAAAATTATTTATTTGATTAAATAAATTTTTAGATTTTTTTTTTTGAAATGCAATTTATAATATTATGTTAATATTATGTTAATATAAGATTATAATATTATGTTAAATTTATATATTATTATAAATACATAATAATATATTTTTTGTTACTATTATTATAATTATTTATTTATTAATTATAATTATAATTATATTTTATATAATTTATAATAATTATATTTATTTATTATAATAATTATAATATAATATAATAATAAAATATTCATAATAATTAATTATAATATTATAATATAAATAAATTATAATTTATTTATATTTAAAATTTAAAATAATTATTTTAATATTGTTTTTTAGTCCTGTATCTTCACCATCAACAGAAATGCATACTCGACCTCGCACATCGTTACTGCTAAAATATAATACGATAGATAACAATAGAACTGTTGAAAATGGACATTTTGTATCATCTCGTAATAATTGGGGTTCCAGACCATTAAGTGCTGGTCCATTTCATAAGCCTAATTTACCGATTGTAAATTCGAGACGCATACTTACAGATTGTCAACTTTCACAAGAAGATCCAGCAATACCATTGATAGCTTCAATTAAGAAAGAACTTGAAAAATTTTCTTCGCAATAAACAATCAAAGAATTACGATATTAAGCAATAAAAAGTATTAAAAACTGAAGTACAATTAAATATAATCCAAAGATATGATTGAAAAAAACTATTAAAGAGATTAATAAGTATAATTTCAATTATATTTCTATTTTTATTTTCTATAAAGATTAATATTATTGAAAATATTCAAATAAAAAATTGTTATATTTCTTATACCGAAAATGATTATATGACAAGATTTTCTTGATTATAATTAAAAAATTAATTATGATGATTATTAGTATGAAAATATCACATAATAGAAATTATATAATTTCTATAAGTAATTTGTAAGATGGGAAGAAAATATATAAAAATCAGTATTTAAATTTGCATTTATAATAATTGTAAATATTTAACAAAATTTTATATGTACAATCAATGTTTCTATTCCATGTAATATATATAACATAATGTATTGAAATCTATTGAGATTGAACTCATTCATTGAAATGATATATACAAATACAGTGTGACTTTTATTAGCGATTTAGTCGATTTTTTCTATAAAACTATATATGTATTATATATCATACTAAATTATTACAATTATTGAATATAGAAAGACTGCCAAAATTAGAAAAAAATTTTTTTTAAATATTTTTTTGCATATTTTTTTTATATTCTATTTTTGTTTATTCAAATAATATATTTGAATAGACAAAAATTGGTATGTTGTTATTATTGTCATTATAAGTTATTATTAAATCATTTATTTATTTATTAATTAATATATTTTTCAATTTATCGTTGTACATATTATTATACTAGTTAATCATATTATTATACTATTGTAATTGTTTAATATAAATCGTTTTACTAATTTGTATTATTGTATTTGTAATTGTTTAATATAAATCGTTCACTTCTTAACAATTATTTAAATTTTATGTTATAAATCTTATAAATTTAAAAAATACAATTTTATAATTAGTTCCGTCCAAAATAAAAGACTATTTTTAAATACGATGTATATTTTAATAATCAGAAACAAATAAATTATTGATATTTTTATTTTTGTACATTCGATGAATATACATAAATTCCGTTATTTTGTTTTGGTTTATTAATTTTTAAAGATATTTATAAATTTTTTATCATACTTTTAATATTTCAATAAATCGATCATTATTGCAAAAATCTTTGTATGTATGTTCATATTGAAGCTTAAGAATAGGATATTTTTTTGTAAAAAATTGTATATATTCAGGATGAGTTGTATCAACTTCTAAAAACAATCGTCCTCCCGGTTTTAAAGCAGTAGCAGCATATTTTAATAAAGGTTTAATAATTTTCAAACCGTCATCTCCCCCATCAAATGCCATTACATCTTCGTAACTAAAGAATAAAAGCAAGATTATAAAAAATACAATTTTATAAATATAAATATATATAATTATAAATATAAAATATATAAATTTATATAAAAAATAATTTAATTACATTTTAATTTCAGGTATTAATGTAGATATTGTTTAGTTGGTATATAAGGTGGATTACTAACTATAAAATCAAAAGTTTTAGAATTCAAATCGAGATTTTTAGATTCATTTAATACATTCGAAATTTCTATCGATCCATTATCTTTAAGACTTGCATGCACAACATTGATTCGATCTTTTAAATCTAATTTATCTCGATTTTCTTTAGTTAATTCGCATGCTTCTGGATTTGAATCAATTGCTATACAATTAACCTACAAAATAATTTTATGTTGTATAATAAAATTTTTATTATACATTATAAGAATTATTTTCAATCAAATAAATGTATGATTATGTTAATGATCTATTATAATAATTACTGTTTTATTAGCATGTGCAATCGCAAGAGATATGGCTCCAGAACCACATCCAATTTCTAAAATTTCCTGTTTATTGTTATCAGAAGACTTTAAAGCTTTTAAAATATAATGGACTAATATTTCAGTTTCTGGTCGCGGAATAAAAATTGGCGGAACTAATTTCAAAGTAATATCACAAAAATCCCATTCTCCTATTATATATTGAACTGGCATTCTGTAAAGATTTGATTTTATTAAAAAAATAATATATATAACAAATATATAAATTTTATAGAATTATAATTGTAACAATTAAATTTTTACCTCGATAATCGACATTCGCATAATGAATCTAATGTATCGCGCTGAACTGACGTAAGTCGTTTATTTTTTATATCTACAAGATCTAATATCTGAAAATAATTTAACACTATAATTTTATTTTAAAACTTGAAAGTAAACTGAAATATTTTTGATTTTATTTTTATAACACTAAATAATAATTGTATTTATTTTAATTATATTTGTTATTTATTTATATTTTTTCTCATATATTACTTAATTTCATAACATTGAATAATAATTATTAAATCATTAAAGATCATGCAAAGATTTAATATTTTATTATTAATTATAATATTTTTAATAGCAAAAAAAGTATATAAATAAAAAATTAAAATTATATTACAAAATATTTAATGCTTATAATAGTATAATAATGGTGATACCTTGTTAGTGCCTATGACGTGCGCAACAATGTGCTCAATCGATTCTACGGGTTCTGGAATATGTTCGTTCTTAAACCGGTTACTCCATTCTTCGATTATTTCACCGACAGTAGGACATTGTACGTTTATTGTGGATAGATTTCGTGTTGATCGATTAAATGTGGTTATTTTAGCTTTACTACATTGTACATATGCTTCTGCACTTAAAATACTCAAGAAAGATCGAGTACTCGAAAGACAGCGAAACATTATGTTTCATATAAAATAATTTATTATTAATCAATTACGCTTTTAACGAAAAATTATTACACATAATGTGTACATGTGACATACAAAATACTTAAATACATATTCTATCTATTTATTAAACTCACAATTCTTAACTCTCTGCTAAATTCTAGTATGTGCTGCCAGCTATTGACAAACACATTTAATTATTTTTACTTACAATACAACTTACAACGTCGATCGTGCAGAGAAAAGTTGAGAAGAAATAATTAAATATTTTATGGGGCAAGTAAATTATTATTATCAACTTATTTAATTATAAATATTTATATATATATATATAAAATACATATTTTAATACGAAAATTCATTAAATAGAAAAATAAAATATATGGTTTTCAAAAATAATATAAAATAAAAATGTATTCTGCATGTTTGAAAAGTCTATTTTTCAATTATAATTTATTTTAAAATATAATTATTTTATAATTATTTCTTTGCTTTTTTATGTAATATTGTCTTCTTAAATTGATAATTATATAGCTTAAAATTTTTAAATTCAAAACATACCGTTTATTTTGTGTTCAGTCGATAACGTATTATCGATTAGCAGCGCATGCGCAAAAATATATAACGGAAAGAAGGGTACGAATCTATAGACCATCATTCAGTTTAAGACGCCAGCAGTCGCCACCGGTCCAACTTGTAACTTGCAACATAGTCTGCCATGACAGTCGTCGGTGTCACACGAGTGCACTATTAAACTTTCATCTATTATTGACTGTATCTTTCTGACAAAGAAAACAATCCAATGAACTAAGCTATTATACGTTCTGACAACACATCGTATAATCATTTTGAAGCGACGGCACAATTATAATAAGCAATTAAGATCTACAGAATTATATTGCACGCGTCTTCGGCCTAGTGAATGGCGGCGAGTGGTGTGGTGTCGGTGTTGTGACGTGTGTCTCGTGCCGCGTTGACTGTCAGTTTTGTCATGTATCAAAAATCGCATCATTTCTAAGTTTCGTGTGACATCATTGATCGTATTTATAGTTCGCATAATTGTGCCTCGAAGGATTAAATATATATGCTGTTGTAACATTTAACATTCCTTTTCATAACTGTGTGGCATTTGTTTACGAGCAGAAGTTTACGATTGCCTAAAAAGTGCGAGAGTAAGGTGTGGTGAAAAATGACATGTAGATTCTCATTGCTCTTTCACTCCTGCTTCTCTTTCTCCTTTCCAACCTTTTCCCCTTCCTCTTTGTTCTAGGCACGCGTATTCCTATTCTTCTCTTCCTTCATCCATTCTTCCCTGCCTTCACCCATCCGTATACCGGCGATTCGAAAGCCTTGCGAAGGTAAAAGTTCGCTGTCACGCGCGATTGTCACGGTATTGTTTTCACACGGAACGATACTTTCCGTGATGAAGTAATGAAGAAAAAATTTAATACGATCAACATAAAGGAAGACTATTAAAGTGCTTAAAATTGTGTTTTTAATCAATTATCTTGCATTGTATATAGAAGAACATTTTCAACTCGTTTTAATTGAGAAGAAAATTATTTTCCTGTTGATAAAAAGACGCACGAAATAGAAGAAATGGAAGAATCTTAGAAAAAATTCAGCTTTGAAATATCTTGTTGGGATTGAATGCCGGAAACGACCGGCCATGAAGAAACAGTTTGCTCTGGTAGGTTCACGCCCCTATACGCGTCACGTCTTGCTATATCGTCAATCATCGACTGAAAATCTATCAATGTATATAGTGTTTCGTGATTTGTGTTGCGTGAAAACCTAGTGTTGGAAATTTAATCGGAGTAATGCGTGAGTGGTGGTCGTGTCTTTTATTCATTGTGTTTCGAAGAGAGAATATATTGAAACGTGTTGAAAACGTGCCTCGTATTGTATCGTAAAATAACGGGGCATCGAAAGTGACGTATCGTTTACTCGGAATTCATTCGTGACAGGGAATTTCCTGTTACCGATTTGCGCTCGCTTGGCGCGTACGCAACGTTGCGCGAGCGTACACGCCCCTTCCCCTCTCGTGTTTCTAGTGATCGTGTAGTTGTCGTAGGGGAGTGATTTTGTTGGTTGTTTAGTGTTTGCACGTAACGACAGTGTGACCAAGCACATATAGTCGTTTCGATGGACAGTGTCGTGTTATACGTGTGGGGCCAACCGAAATACGCGTCTGCGCGTAAAACTATACACGTGCGAATAATCAAAAGAGAAGAGATATCTTGTATTATCTCTTTCTCACATTCGACTCAAGATTGGTGCTGTGAATGAGAAGATGTTTAACTTTATGAAGAAGGCTACGGAGAAGGACGACAAGGAGAAGCGGAAGCGCGAGAAGAAAGAACGAAAAGATGTCAAGAAACGAGATCGCAGTAGTATGTCCGCTGAGGAATTACTACGTTTAGATGAAGTACGTGTTTTCTTTTTATTCTTTTATAATATTAATCGAATTAAAAAATAGATATAATAGATCAATAAATAATTTTTTATTCTTAAGAATTTCTTTTTTCATAAAATATATACTCTTTTCATATATAAAATATATATAAATATATATAGTCTATTTTATAATGTTTATCTCGTTTATTAGATTAAAAAATTGTTGAAGTATTATGCTGAAAATATTGAGTGTTGATCTTTATATACATACTGACTTTACTTACATACATATATTTTTTTCTTCTTGCTTATCAAGAACAGTGTGGATATATATACAGATAAGTAGATTTGTCAAGTTTGATTCATCATGGTTAAGCTTTGTATTTATGAATCTACTTTTCTGGATTCAAACATTTTTAAACAAATTGTTTTAAAATAGCATTTGATAAATGATAGCATTCAATATAATAACAAAATATTTTAAACGCATACGAAGGTTTAATCGATTTATTAATGTTTTAAAATAATTATAGTTTTTCTTAATTTAATCATGTATTAAAATATTTTTTATATAAATATTTCATATATTTTTCATTATTATTATCTTTATAATTAATAGCGATTTCGAATCTGATTAAATTTTTTTTTGAGAAATATGTTTAGAAAGAATATGATAAATGATAAGATAAATGATAATATCTATAGGTCGTTTTTATCGTATCTATATGTAGTAGATCTATATAATATACAGTACAAAAATATTAGTTAATATAGTTTTTAATTATATTTTTTTACGTAACTTTTTTTCTTATATTCAAAGAATTTATTAAAGTTAGAATTATCTTGATTATAACATAAATTCTTCAAGGATTTTTTATAATATCAAATTTTCTTTTAGAAAATTAAATAAAAATAAATTTTAATTAATAATTGAATATCATTTATTACAGAACATTATTGCGATTTCGATAATTATTGGGTAAATATATAAATTTAAATTATAATAATTTTTTTATAATGATTTTTGCGAAATCATATTTTAAAGACGAAATATTGTTAGATACATAAATGATCTATTAGAAGAATATTTTGAAAAATCGTTTTATAATATTATAAAATTTAATAGTTTTTATTAGTATAGTGATACAATGTAATAACATTTATCTGTATTTATCTAATTAGCATACATAGCATTGTACGTATTTAATAACGGGAAATAGATATATAAGTATTTACTAACGGAATATAAACAAATCGCGCATAAATTTGACTCTATTAATGTACAGCTTTGTTAATCAAATTATTTAATTAAGAATAGTTAATATATTCAAGAAATTTAATCCATTTAGAAAGAAAATAAAAAAAAATATAGAGTATTATAACACAGTTTACTATAACTTAGGATTTTTTTTATTTTTATATATTCCTTCAATTTTTTCTTCTATGCTAATATAATTTTTTTATAACATTAATTATTTTTTATCTCTATTATTATTTTATCCAGAAAAATATTTTTTATTGTGCATAATGATAAATATCATGATAAATCGTATGATTTATAGTTACATTATAATTTGTTTATCTTAGAGAAATATCGTAATAGTACGGTAGTAATAATAGCACTTTGTAATTAAAGAGGAAATACAGATGCTTCATCAGCAAGTAGTAGAACTCAAGTGAAAGTAACATTAAGCTTAATTCCCAGTTGATGGTGATTAAGTTATTCAGAATCTAAATATTTATACTAAAAAATATGAAATTATATCTTTTTATATATGGATATATAATTATTATATTATACACATAATTATTATATTACGTTACATTAATACATCTTTCATAAAATAGTTTTACGTTTAGATTTATAGATAAAAAAAATGTAATTTTGCATATATTATGAAATAATATATGCATGGTTTTGAAGTCTTATTTATTTATATAAAATTCTATATATATTATCCGTATATAAAAATTTATTCAAAAATTATTTTAATTGGTTGATTTTTATACAAAAATTTATAATTTCATCTTCTATATTTTTTTAAAACTATATTTCACAGTTTATATTTCTTTTTCTAATAAATAATGATATTAATATTGAATTATTTTATGAGTTTTATGGAATCTACAAAATATTCTCAATTCCTTGCTTTGCTATATATAATATTTATATATAAAAAAAAATAGAACAATGTTCAAAAATTTCACGTTATATTTTTATGATTAAAATTCTTTGATATTTCTCTCAAAGTCGTTTAAATTTACCAAGTTTAAAAAATAAAATCAGAATTTTCGGATAAGTTTCTTGAATTTTAAAATAAATAAATTAATGTAAAATATAATAACAAAATATATCTATTTTATTTTGCAGGTTCGAAGATCATTGAAGATTCCTGGTCGGCGGAAGGAGAAGGAAAAGTTACCGAGTGGTATCACTGCGGACTATAGTGCTTCATTTTTCGCGTATCTAGATCGTGATCTCTTGGAAAATTCGCAAAACTCATCGAGCTCAGGCCAAAGTGTTCGTGCCGGTAATAATTGGTCCAATAGGACACCAGATGGTTTAACGCAAAGCGATTCATCAGAAACTTCCTTAACCTCTTTGACCATTACGACAACTACCTCTTCAGTTACGCCGACGAACGTGTCTGGTCAATCGGGAAAAAATTTGCCACCACTGCCACCAAAACCTCCGAAACGAGGAATTCTTAAAGGACCACGTTTAAGCGTCAGCAGCACTGTGAATTCATTGTCAGAGGAAAATCAATTGCCAAACGGAACGAGACAAATTA